GGTCTTAGGTTCGTATGGTTCAACATTCACATTCGCTAACCGGTGCGCCTTCACCGTATGGCCTGGGATTCTCGCTAATGCTGGCTCACCTACACTCTCCACCACAGGATTCGAGCTCCCTAAAGACACCTCACGCTCTCTCCAAGCCCCAACCGGTTGGTCCGGTCGTTTCTGGGCTCGAACCGGTTGTACCTTCGACGGTTCTGGCTCCGGTACATGCAAAACGGGAGATTGCGGTTCAAACCAAGTCGAATGCGGCGGAGGAGGCGCCGCGCCGCCTGTAACACTCGCTGAGTTCACTCTAGGCACCGGAGGAGATGATTTCTACGACGTGAGCCTCGTCGACGGTTACAACATTCCGATGATCGTTGAAGTCGCCGGTGGATCTGGTCAGTGTGCTTCTACGGGTTGTACTTCTGATTTAAACGTTCAGTGTCCGGCTGAGCTGCGTTCCGGCGACGGAGACGCGTGTAAGAGCGCGTGTGAAGCGTTTCGGAGTCCTGAGTATTGTTGTAGCGGCGCGTACGCTACACCGTCGACTTGTCGGCCTTCCGTTTACTCGGAGATGTTTAAAGCCGCTTGTCCTCGGTCGTATAGTTACGCTTACGATGATGCTACGAGTACTTTCACTTGCGCCGGTGGAGATTATACGGTGACGTTTTGCCCATCTTCCCCAAGGTAAATGTTCTTGATTCCCTCACTTATTATAATGTTTTTATTCTGTTTTCCATAATTTGTGGGGTTTCGTGTTTTGAAAAATTGAAACTTTATGTGTTAATGGGTTTAGTAATAATTAATCTTGGGATATTTTTTTGTTTATTATGAAAGATTTTGGTATGTGTTTTTTTTTTTTTGTGTGGGAAAAGCTGAAGTTTGTTTCTCTTCTTTTCATAAACTACCATTCGCAAAAGCATAAAGATTCTCTTTGTGTTGTCAATAACAATGAGTTTTTATCGAGAAAATTGTGGCAAATGTTGCAGAAAATTCCAAACTTGTTGAAAGATTTAAGACTAAAAGTATATTGATTAGTGTTTTTTCTGTCTCTCTGAACAGCCAAAAATCCACTAGCTACTCACCACCAGCGTCAGATTCGTTGGGGACCTCACAAGGTTCGGATCCTGTGCCTGGTTCGGATACGGCTTACCCGGGTCAGGGACAA